GGGGGGGGGAATACACACACCAGATGCCCCAAGGGTGGGCACAGCTTGTGAGCCAGAAGGTCCTGCCACTGTGGCCCCCTCCCCAACCCCCCCAGCAAGGCTAGCCTTTCCCTCGACTCACACCCACCTGGAGGGCAGCAGCCCCACACAGGGGCCAAGCCCAGCTGTGAACACATGGCTTTCACATGAGGTGGCGGGGACGGCTCTGGTGCAGCTGGGCTGGTGGCATGTGCTGCGGCCTGACCATCTGCCCCGCACACCCTCCACCCCCAGACCAGCGGGCCTCTCCCCCACCTGCGCCTCCGCCTGCAGCAATGTGGCCCTCCCTCTGCTGCTCCCTTCCTGGTTGACAGGATAGCGGATTATGACAACACAGGAGCCTGTCTGGCTTCCTTGTGTCAAGGGTGGAGCCGAGGAGCAGAGCTGTTAGGAGACTGGGCACTGGAGCAACTCACTAACCTTGATTCAAATCCAGGCTCTGCAGTGACAGTGGCACACAGCCATGCAGGCTGCGACTACATGATGCCATGGCAGCAGCACCACACTTGAAGCCACGTGCGGTGGCGAAAGTCTGTAAGACTCTGGCCAACTTACATACATTCTCTGAACCTCTCTGTGTCACTGTCTGTGAGATGGGGGAGGGGGCGTGATAACAACACCTATTTCATTAAATGAACTAATACACACATGCTTAGCACAGTGCCCAGCACAAGTAAGCATCTGATAAATGGCCATTTCCGTGAGTGTTATTTATTAAAACAACTGAAGAATTCCAATTGCTCCATCCATTGAGAGCCTTGCCCAGCTCTGAGGACCTGTAGATGTTTAAGAGATGTTCAGGGTGCTTCCAGCCTCCAAGCCTATCTTCATTTGCTCTTTGCAAAGAAGCTGTGTGTGCAGTAAGCATTATCACCTTTTTACAGCTTTAGTGACTGAGGCCCAGACAGGAAAGTGACTCATCCAGGGCCACGCAGAAAGCATGCAGCGAAGGCACTACTCAAAGCCCAGCCTCTGAAAACCCCAGCCCATCCTCCTTTCATCATCCCAGAAGAATGCTCAGGGAAATGAAGCCCCAGACCAGAGCCACAATCCCAGCACGGACCTCAGTGTCGCATCAGCCAGGGCCCCACATCAGGCAGAGCCACCCTCCCGCCTTTCCTCCTTACCCAAGAGCCTGTTTCAAACAGGCCTGAGCCTAGATCCAGAGCTACAATCTGGATTGGGGCAGAATGGGTGTGGGGTGGGGTGGGTGGGCATTTTACAGGGGGAAATTGAGGCCCAGAGGAGAAAGGAGCTCCTCTAGGACACAGGACTTCCTCCCTCAGATGGGTGCTGGGGTATTGGGGACACGGTGGGTGTGCTTCAGCCCCTAGCTCTGTGACCAGAGGGGCCTGGCTGTATTTCTTTCCTTCCCAGTCAACAGGCAGGTGTCCACTTTGGCCTAGCAGCCTTTCTAGGAAAGAGTCAGGATGGTTTGAGCAAGGAAAAAACAAATAGGAACTTCTGCCACTGGGTATTTGTGCTTCTGTGACTGGATTTGTGTGTGCTCTTGGGCACATGTCATGAGCATGTGTGTGCACGGGTGTGTGTACCTGCACACGTGTGTGCGTGTGCATACGCACTTCCTCCCTGAGAGGGCTTGGGTTTCCCTTCTCCTTGGA